GAGTCAGCTCGTCGTCGCCCGCGCGCCGGGCCGCCCCGCAGCCGCCCGAGGCCTGCTGGAAACCGGCGCGTCTCCCCGGCCTTCCGGTCTGGCGCGGACTCCGCCGCCGCCGCGCTTAATTTCTTACAGTAAGCCGCGAGAGTGTCTTGACAGTCTTAGGATGGTGCCCTACAGTGTTCTTGTGAGTGTTCACGCCGGCAGCACGTGCTCAATTAAAATTAAGACTCGCCCTCCGGTGCGGCCCGCGCACCTGGAGGCCGCTGGTCCCGATCCCGAGGGGGCGGCGTGCGGGGGCAGGCGGTCAGCGTTTCTCTAGTGGGTGTTTCTCCCTCTCCCTCTAAAATCAATAAAACATTTAAAAAATAAGTAAATGAAATTCAGTTCCTCTGTGATAGCTGAGTCGTAAAAGACACACAGGTGGAGGGTTAGGGACGCCGAGAATTCCTTGCGTTCTCTCAAGGTCTGGAATGTAAAGCCCTTGGGTTTTCCAGAACATAAGAAAATTGGTATCGCTCAGCCTTTATGGTACAATTGGCCTTGCTGTTTGAAAGGTGCAGTGGGGGCCCCAGGGTGGTGGTTAGTGGAATTCATCCGCCTGCCCAGAGCCCAGGCAGTTGTGGAGCAACCTGCTCCTGGTCTGAGGATTTGCAGCGTCTACATGCTTCCTTCGTCTCCCTGGCTCAGCAGTCGGGGTAGTTGCTGCTCAGAGGGCGGCAGAGGCTGTCTAGGCTCAGAACAGGGCAGGCACACCTGAGCTGTCCTGATTGTTCAGTGTCATTGCTTTCGGTGCTAGCGGCTGTGGGAAAACTGCCTCCCGGAACAGAGGCAGGAAACATGTCTTGTTTAGGACCAAGCTGTAAACCTGTGTTCATTCTTCGGAAGGAAGACAACTGAAGGCCATTTCCCAGAATGGGAAGTTTTTAAGCAAACTTCATTTCAGTGATGTCATAATTAGGAGAGTTGCACTTTAATTGTTTTCAATAATGTACAGTATACTCAAGCCAATAATAGAAAAAGTCTGTCTTTTTAAAGATTAAACTATTGAGCCTATTATCTGAGCAGGTGTGTGCAGTCTAGGTCTTTCATGTATCTGAATTTCCCTGTCTCCACATTCTGGACACAAATGCCAATAAAATCAACGAAGAAGGCCCAGAAGGGCACTGGTGTCAAGGCGCAGGCAAGCGTGGCACCAGAAGAGAGCTGCCAACAACATCGTGCCTGCACCAGGTGCCTACTGCTCTCCAGTCAGAGTGAGCTGTGGTCACCAGCCCAAGGCTGAGCACTTGAACTCCTGATCTCCATGTTTCCACTGCAGCATGAACTCAGGCCTAGCATTTGAACCTGACCTCACCTCTTCTGTCTCCAAAAGAGAAAGGCTACACCACTGGGCTCTGCTTGGCTGGCAGGATGGATTAGTTCATACTGGGTGGTGGGGGTGCAGATTTCTCCCCAGGAGCACCCATGGGAGGTGCCCACCCTGAGTCCCAAGGGGAGGGAGCTTTCACTCTTGGTTTATTACAGGGGAGAGGAAAACACAATGTCATGCAGGTCACTGCCTTCCAACCCTCCCCTAAGAACACCTGGACCCCGGAGAGACAGTGAGACCAGAAAGTCATCACCAGGCCCCACGATGCCATGGGGTTGCCACTCCCATGCTATAGACCAGACAGGAAGCAGGACAAAGGCAGGCCCAGCTCACCCAGCATTCCTGTCCCCTTTCTCCACAGCCATGCAGGACCCTAGCTCGCTCTGGCCCTGGAGCCCCAACTGGTGGGTAAAGATTGGGTCCAGGATGAGATAGACTAGGCAGCTGATTCAGGTTGGTTTCAGGTTCACACTGCAGCCTACTCATCAAGCTTTGGTTTGGTATTAAGGAGCAAGCTATTAAAATACCCTTTCCTTTTTCAAAGAAACCATTCCAGGTTTAACACTTCAACCATTCCAGGTTTTGGGGGTAAAATTTCATTGTTTTTAGTTTTAAAGTATTATGCTAAAAGTAACAGGTATATATTATTTTTAAATGAATTTTTAAAAATTTCTGAGTGTGGTTTTTTAGATTTCTGAGATCTAATTCCTAATGTGATAACTGTTGATCCATATAACCCACATAAACAAAGCTCTTTGGGGGTCCTCCATAAATGTTTGAAATTTGTAAGGAGTTACTGAAACCAAAAAGTTGGGAGTTTTCTCAAAAGCCCTAGTACATCCATAACACAGGTGATTGTGCAGCCACTGATTGTGCAGACACTTGTGGAGATACAGGAAGACTGCTGACATCACCAGCAGCCGTCAGCAGCCACCTGGGCCAGCAAGAAGGCTGGGCCCTGGGGAGAGCTAGGGTGGCCTGCCTCCTCCCCCACCCCCACTGTCTCCCAGGGCTCCAAAGGGGGAAAAATGGCCATGTGTTATTTACACACTCATTTCTTAAAATTGCCATTGTCACTATTCCTAATTGTGGTAAAACAAGCTTGATAACCAGCTTCCATGTGTGGTACAGCTGCACACTCACCTGCTCCCTCACTCACAGGTGGTGGCTTTCCAGTCCATTCCCCACTCCACAGACGCAGGACACACACTGGGACAGTGCAACCATTTCTTAAACACAGGTTTTTTTCTTTAATTGTTCATTTGATTTAGTTTTTAAGTTCACTTTCACTACAGGATGAGATGGGTGCATTTACACTAGGCTTCCGCGATGAGAGCTGCCACAACTAAAAGAAACCCAGCCCTCAGCTCCCTTTCAGCGTCCTTCTGAATCCCACCAAAGCTGCAGGTGGGCACTGCTGTGTTCCACTCCTGACATCACTTTTTCAGGAGGCTATCTCAGTGGGGACAGAGAGGGGGCATGAGTCCCTACTTCCCCCTAAGCCCATGCAGGGTATCAGCATCTGCCCAGCTCCCTGGCTGGGCCCCCATTGCTTTCTGCAGGATGGAAACCAGGCACTGGGGACTGCACAACCTGGTTTCTGAGATGCTGGCTCTGGGTCCTTCAAGGACTTGTAGTCTGTCCACTCATGCTTTCCACCAAGAGGACGGTCAGCAGGGACCCTGCTGAGGGATGGGACGGCAATGGAGAAGGGGGGGATGCTGCAATAGGTAAAAGACAGGACAACCCCCATGTCCAGGCTGGTGGTAGTTCTCAAAGGCCAGGATGAGGGAGGGAAAGGGACCCAGTCCAGGAGGGTCTTGGCAGGAGAGGCCTGGAGCCTGGCCTCCAATCTGCAGGCTGGCCAGAGGGGGCCACCAGCCAGGAATGCCAAGGATGGACCAGGTGGGGAGGTGGCTTGAGAACCCTACCCCCTGCCCCCGGCTGTCTGCTAGGGACTCCCCGAGGCACCTGTGGCTGCCACTCACTCATACCTGGCCACACTGGCTGGAGACAAGCCTGAAAGCCCTGTGGTCAGGAATATTGTGGGTGGACACGTGAAGGGGCCAAGACTCCAAAAGGTTATAAGGACAGGTCTGCAAAACTCCAGGGAGGAGAGGAGGAATGGCAGCAGCTGGGCTTTCCCCACAGGTGCTCCAGTAGAGGCTCTTGGAAGGAGGGCACTTATGGAAGGAGGAGCCAGCAGGGGGTGTCATGCTGCCCACAACCCTGTGTGCCACAGCAACCTGCTCTTGGGTCCCTGACAGAGAATGCTCACTCCCCTGAAGACTCAGACCGGGCCACATCCTACACCACCCCCACTCCAGCCACGGGCAATGACCACAGGCTCCCAGGCCAGTCCAGGGTGTCCATCACAGACCAGGTGGTCTCACAGAACCCCTGTGTAACCACACGAAAAGGTGCTGCAGCCTCCACCCACCAGTTCTACAGAGCTCCACTGCGCACACGCTCCCAGGGCTGGCCACCCTGACGATGACCGGGCCCCATACTGCCCAGAGGTCCATCTCAGACTAACTCACTCCTCCTCCCCTCCAGCGTGCTGAGCCCCTCCCCCACCGGAGGGCTGCAGGTGGGAGTGCGTTTGCGTGGAGGTGCCCTAAGTGATAAGGTGCTCACAGGACAACCCAGCCTAAGGACCCTCGTGTTTCTGCCACCACCAGTAGTCACCATCACATCCACTAAGAGGACTGCCGAGGGGGGACCCGGCCGCCACTGGGCCTGGTGCCTTAGCTGAGAGGCCTGTGCCACGCCCCGGAGGCTCCTCCAGTGCAGAGCCCCTGGTCAGCCACTGCCACAGGACTGGACAGCTCAGAGTGCGGAAAGAGAAGCATGAAGCTGGGACTGCGGGAGGGGAGGGAAGGAGGAGCGGGAACAGAAAGTTGCATCTAGACGGAGTTGAACAAAACAAAAACAAAACCCGAACGTGATCTTGTCTCGGCGCAGGATCCAGGCGCCGCGGTGTCCAAAGCCCCTTAGCCGGACATCTCCTCTCGCTGCTCCTTGTTCCTGCGCACCTCGGCCGCGTGCAGCTCCTGCGGGGCGAGGCGGGGTAAGCGGGGTCCTGCTCTCCCCCCGCTCGCAACGGGGGTCTCATCCTGGGCTGGCCCCAGCCGGGACCGGGCAACTGGGGCGCTGGAGGTGCACTGGGCAGGAGTCCGCCAAAGGAAGGGGCCCCTTGGGAATTTCCCTGGCCCCCAACCCAGAGCAGCCCCTCCCCTCTTCTAGCTCACATCCAGATGCGCTTCCTTCAGAGCGCTTCAGAGCAACGGCTGACCGTTCATTGCCGCGTCACCGGCGCGTCCCAGCAGGACCCGGCTCTGACTCTCCATTCGCGCAC